ACCCTCATTAATTACTGCACATGTCACATAGATATTTTCCCTCATGGAGGTTAAACACGTCTTTCTCTCTCTTTCTTGCCCCATCATATATTTCTAGAATATAATTGTACTTCATATTTTATCGTTAATATATAATGAATGAATTATTCTTATAGCTGACGAAAGTACAAAAAAGACTGGAATCTCTACAAGTACAAGACGTTTACCCCAAGCTACGTCTAGATTAAAACCACCGAATACGTCTTTACCTAAAGCTCAACCTCTCACACGATCTACAGCAATTAAAACAGAAAAGGTAAATTCATCTCTTTTATCCAGTAGGTTTCTTCTAGTGTCCTGGCATGGGGGGGGGGGGGGGGTAGTGGTTTAACGCGTATACACATGAAATCACAAGGTCTGTCTCCCTCTTGCTGCCGTAAAGTAATGATGTGTCAGTGTCATTTTTCGCTAAAATATCAAATTTTTTAACATTAAATTAAATATATATTATGTAAGAGCTTTCTTTAGGTCTGAAATGTTATATAAACTATTAATTAGACATTTATTAACGTATCCAGACCATAATCAACTCTCGATGTCATCTTAGGTGTCGGATTTCCACTAGATTTGAATCTGATCTGCTGCTCAACGCTCATTGATGATTAAATCCAAAAATGGATAATCGAGGCTATGTTTTTTTTATTGTACTGACTTTAGTAATGATGATCGAGGCTAGGCCTCAAATTCAATCGCTAATATCTTGGTTCAGAGTGGAGCAATCTGACTGAAATTTTCAGTATATTCCCTTTACATTATCTAGTTCTTATACGCCCACATTGTTGTCGCCCCCGTCAGTCCGGCGTACACAATTTCTTGTGGACGCTCTATAGGCTAAAGTTAATATCCAATCGTCTTTAAATTTATACACAGTTTTTAAGGTCATGAGACGAAGAAGCCTATTGATTTTCAACGATTTTTCGATAATTACTTCCAGAGTTATTGCCCTTGATCACTTCAAAAAATTTTGTGGACGCTCTAGAGGCTAAAGTTAATATCAGATTGACTTTAAATTTATACACAGTGTTTAAGGTCATGAGACGAAGAAGCCTATTGATTTTCAGTGATTTCTGATAATTACTACTTGAGTTATGGCCCTTGATTGCTTTGCAAAATCTTGTGGACGCTCTAGAGGCTAAAGTTAATATCCGATTGACTTTAAATTTATACACAGTGTTTGAGGCCACTAGATTTGAATCTGATCTGCTGCTCAACGCTCATTGATGATTAAATCCAAAAATGGATAATCGAGACTATGTTTTTTTTATTGTACTGACTTTAGTAATGATGATCGAGGCTAGGCCTAAAATTCAATCGCTAATATCTTGTTCAGAGTGTTTGAGACCTTGAGATGAAGAATCGTATTGATTTTCAACGATTTCGGATAATTACTGCCAAAGTTATGGCCCTTGATCACTTTGCAAAATCTTGTGACGCTCTAGAGGCTAAAGTTATCATCCTATTGACTTCAGATTGATACACAGAGTTTAAGGTCTTGAGACAAACAAGTATATTGATTTTCAATGAATCTTTATGACTTGAACAGCTAAATCCATGATGTTAAAAGTTTCGTATACTAAACGTTAGCATGGGGCAGAACTTTTTAAAAACCAAACAAAATCTAATGGTTTTCTGATAATTACTTAATTGAGTTGTTACTCTTAATCAGATTTTAATGTATTATAAATGTTTCATTACCGAAAAAATTAAAAATATGTGACAACTCTTGTTGACTGCCCGGACAGTGAAAAACAAGAAACAGAATATAAGACCAATGTATCAAGCACATCGAAGCATTTTTAATTCTTAATTCCTTTATTATTTCAGATAACAAATGCACAAGCATTATCCACCATAACAAATAGCCCCAAGAAAACACGACCAGAAGATGAATTGGTTAAACGAATCGGTGCCCCTCAAAGATCGCTGAGTTTACGCAAATCACCTGAAATAAAAAGCCTGCGACGACCTGTACATCAAACAGGAGAGGGGGAAGACAAAGACGCAAAAGAATGTAAAGTACAGTGATGGTCCCAGTTGCGTTATTAATTAATGTTTCTGTATATAAACTAAATTATAGATATTTTATTCTGTATAATATAAAAGACATTTCCAAACTAGGTTGTTATTCATTAGCTTTATTTACTTCGTTACACATGTCCATATTGCGCCTAAAAACAAAATGTATAATTTCATGCATTGATTTCTGAATTTTTAATTAAAATTGTTTATATATTTGATTTTGAAACATCAGATAAGATTTTAAATTTGTTTACATTTGTAAATAATTATACTGCTGAAATTATTGTGATTATAATCTGTTATAAACTGCTGCATTTCTTAATATTCTATAACAACCAATACCGGTATATACAAATTATTGTGATTATTATTTGTTATAAACAACTGTGTTTCTTAATATTCTATAACAGCCGATATATACAAATTCATATTCATCTGTATTTTATTCATTAAAACTTAATAATTATTTGTCGCTTTTCATTCTGCATTTACATTTTATAACCCCTATCATTTAAACCTAAAGCATTATTAAACCATTTTTTGTCGCTGTTATATTTATTGATATAGACTTATGTCTCATTTATAATGTATAACCATCTTTATAATAAGCACTAGAATCTGTTTATCATTGGCTACACTACCCTGATGTTTTTTCTTAATGACAGCCAGACTTGGAAATAAGGGTTTTAGCTGTATACCTAAGGCCTAATGAGAGCACAAAATCTTAATGATTCTTCCCAGCCCAGTTAGTTACAAAGTCTTAACAGATCAATTTTAGAGAAACGACCTTCTAGCTCTATTCAAAAACTACTATTTATTATATATTAACTATTGGATAGGACTTTTTTACATTTTACCCCAGGAACATGTTCTAGTATCTAATTTAATATAAATAAAATGGGGTTTAACGTCCTACATTCCTGTGTGAGTTAGTTGTATTTTACGTCCGCTTCCACCGAGGTGATATCGCCTGCTCCATCCAGGCTAATGAAGACAGGAATACATCATGTCTGGTTAATTTAATATACTGGTAATAATATAATTTATTCTATTTCCATATTAAACTAATTGTAATATTTTTGTAGACTAAAACTTGTATAATAAATAAAATAATTACATTGTTAATTACATTGTTAATCACTTTTCTCACCTGCTGAAATCTTGAAACTTTTTATCTGCACATTCTCTTCAAATTCTAATGTTCTTTTTATAAATTTTTGTTATTTTTCTTTAGATCTTAGAATTAGTATTATTTAACTTAGATTTAATATATAAGTGTGTAAATATTAAATGGTAGAATTTTGTTTTCGTTGTTTATTAGTGTTAAATTCTTATGAGAATCTTCTTATCTATCCCTGGTTTCTCCAGTGGTATCATTCCGTTCTACTTCACTAATCCCTGGTCCCATTCACAGATGGGGTGGGGGTGGCCGAATGATTATTATTATTATTATACAACACTTATATAGCGCTATCTTCCACATACTTGTTCAGGTTTGCTTTACAATAAATACATGTATAGAAAATATAAAATCAGTAAAAAATAATAATTATAGAAACAGTAAGAAACTAAATATCTATAAAATCAGTACAAAAATAAATATATAAATATCTATAAAATACATATGGTGAAGATTTAAAATGAATTCAACAATTAAAAGCCTCTTGGAATAAGAAAGTTTTAAGTTTAGATGTAAAAGTTGTATCGTAAGGTCTGTCATTGAGTCAACTGGCATGGTTTTGATTTCCCAGTTGTACGTGACAAGGAGTAGGGTCACCTGTCCATGTCTCCCTTGTGAATGTACCCAAGGGGTTAGTTGAGTAGAATGAAACAATACCGCTCAGGATACTGAGGGTTATTCTATTAGCAAAATGTAGTTTCTTGTTAGTATTAAAATAGCCTAGTCTAGATTTGATCTAATTCCTCTTTTTGTTCTCATGAAAAGTTCAAGTTATTGAAAAGCTTTGATTGAATTATATGTATATTTCGGTGTTGTTTCGTTGAAACAAAGCTTTTCTAGATATAACTTTGGCCATCTTATTTCATCTAGCCTTACTAATTATAGCAGTAGTGTATAAACTTTTAACTATATTTTATTGTTCAAATATTGTCTAGCCTACATAATGATAATAATACTCAATTGTTTTCTCTGCTTCTCTATTTTTCTTAACAGTACTGTAAAATTATATAGCAGATTTTCAAATTGACCATTCATCTAATAAAATGAATATCAATTAATTATGTCTTTCAAGAGCTCTTTTTTTATCCTATAAAAAATTACCATGGTTAAAAAAAAAAAATTATCCAAAAGACTTTCACAATTCTAAGGGTTTTATTTATTTATTTTTTTAAACTAATGTCCAGATGTATTATTTTGGTCTAATGATTTAAACCACTAACAATGAAACCTGGGCTTTGTCCTTCATTAATTTACAATTTAGATATATAATTGTCAGTTTTATAACCATTTAGATGAAAGCCACTAATCCTCTTATCTATCAATAAAGATGGCGTGAATGGCTTTGGGCTGAATTATCTGACACTAATCAACTTATGGAATTTTAGCCAGCACAATAAATCTCATACGGTTTACTTTGTATGAAAAATGAACCAATGGGATATGTTTGCACGTCAGTCTTTTTTGTGATTTATGGCTTGTTCGTTTTTAAAAAGGGACAGATCACACCACAGTGAGGGGTTAGCAAAGTTGTAGCGAAGGGATTCCCGGAATTTCCTTCTAAATAATAATTATGGAGAATACATTTTCACCTGATGTGATGAATTGGATTTGGGATCCTGATTTTATTGTAAGTCATTTGTACTTTTTTTTTTCAAACATGATGAATAGGTAAACCGCGAAAACGTTGCTGCATAATTGTGCGTTTTTTGGAGTTGTCTGCCTTGGCTAAAGGCGTTTATGAGTTATTTCCCCTTCAACGATTTTCAGTGGAGGAGGAAGATAAAGTCGGTCGAATTTGCAAGTCACAAATTTGCCGAACATCCCGAAATAATTCCATTTTTACTCGGCAAAATATCAACTTTTTCTGTCAAAAATGACGACCCCGGCTGTAGATAGTGTCCGCGAAAAGGGTCTAGCAGATTACCGCAAAAAATTATTGGAACATAAAGAATTAGAAGCAAGGTTGAAGGAGAGTAAGTGAAAAAACAAACACGCCGAAAATGAAAAAAAATATTATAACAATATGAATATTCATCTCAGTAAACTCACAGCCACAGGAATATTTGTAAGATAAGATAGTATTCAAGAAAGTAGACGCTCAATAATTTACTGCATATAGGCTACTCCCTCAACCACATGGAGTACACAGTGGATTTTGCACAACAACAAGGTCTTCAATTATCCATAAATATAAATTCTAAAATTGTCTTTATTATTCTAATAATTCAGGAGACTAATATAATCTGAATAAAAAAAAGTGGACTCTCACAACTGAACTAGGCCTAGCCTTTGAAATAGCTATTTATACTGGTCCATAAATCGTGAGATCAGAAAGACCAGATCCTATTTTTGGCACTTTCATCACAGATTGTCAGATACAGTAGTGTTACCAGATCCAGATGTATCTTAGTTTACAGTTTACCTTCTTTTTATGACAACCTAGTAACCTTGTTATATTACTTGTTTATTCAAATCTAAATTTTGTGTTTTGTTTTTTTTTCTCAGTGGAATGATATTTTTCTGATTATTACTTCAATCAAAGCCAGTGTAAAAAATCGAAAGAAACCATTCATATAAATAAATTAACATTACAATTTTATTTTATTTCAGTGAGAGAGATGTTAAAAGATCTGACAAAACAGTATGATAAATCTGAAAATGATTTAAAAGCTTTACAGAGTGTTGGACAGGTATTTAGATCATTTTAAATGTAGTAATCACCTAATTTATATTGTCAACCAGTTGTGTCACTAAATCAAGTTTTCAAAAGGTTGTGTCAGGGTCTTTGACCTATGATTATCAACATATTTTTTCCAAGGAATATAACTGATCTTATCATTAAAGTATCCATTGTGCATAGAAACTATAAATGTGTTCAATGTTTTTTAAAGTTTGAAATTATAATGTAAATCAAATGATAGTATGCCAAGACTTGTAAATAAACTGAAGGGTTAGCCCTTGTCATGTTTTTATTATGGAACAGATTTTATATTAGAATTTATTACAAACAATATCATTCCTTTTCAGATTGTTGGGGAAGTATTAAAACAGTTGACTGAGGAAAAATGTAAGTTAGTGGATATGTTTACGATATTGTCGAAAAAAGATTGGTTTTTTTTATGTAGATAAAAATATTGTAAGTTTAAATGTAAACTTATTTAGCTTTTTGTTTTCTTGATCTGTGAGTAATATGGGATGATGGATGATCGAGTGGTTTAATGTGACTGCTTTAGATCATTGGGTCTGTCATTGAGCCAAGTGGCATGGTTTCAATCCCAAGCTTGTACATGACAAGGAGTGGGGTCGCCTGCTTAACCTTGTGGGTTTTCTCCCGTACCCTACTAAAATCAAGTGAATTAATGGCAATTGTACCATATATTAGTCCCGAAATGATCTAATTGGTGTCTAAGTGTTAAAATAAACCCCATTTCTCTCTCTGTGAATAAAATGATGATCTTTAATATTTGTCATAAATCTTGTACATGTATCTTCAGTTATTGTAAAAGCTACAAATGGACCGCGATATGTTGTTGGATGTCGACGACAACTGGATAAATCGAAATTAAAATCTGGAACAAGAGTAGCATTAGACATGACAACACTTACAATCATGAGGTAAAAACACTCAATAAATTTCTATATCTTTTACATTTTTGTATTAAAACAGAGTAGAAAAGAATTTAGTAACAAACAACATAATGTGTATTTTTTACAATCACTATACTTAAAGTATAATAGCAAGTTTTAGAAAATAGTAGTCCTCCCACTGCTAAAGACCCCTACGCGCAAGCAAATTATTGAAATATAATTGAACCATGTTTTAGTTCCAAAATGACCTAGTTTGTGTTGAGTGGACGTTAAACCCCCGTTCTCTCTCTCTGTTTTATGTTTTTGTATTAAAAAAGAGTAGAAAAGAATTAAGAAACAAATAACATAATGTGTATTTTGTTTACAATCACTATACTTAAAGTTTTATAAAAGCTTAAATGATTTATATTTATGATGGGCTGACTCAATCAGTATTGTACTGGTTTCTCAGTGTTTGTGGAACATTACAGAGGGTCTGGCAGTGAAAATCATCTAATGCAACACTTTAAGATCCCCTAACAGTTGAAAATCAAAAAATGAGTAAGCTGTAGTACTGTTGTCTGTACAAAACTTCCCTGATAGCACAGTGCTTGGTGTATGCCAGACTTAATGGGGCATTATTCAATTGCTAAATCTGTCTATTGCAAGTCTTTCTTTATGCCTTAAATAATGTTATATAAATTATTGATTAGACATTTATTAACTTACCAAGACGATAATCAGATAAGGTAGCAATCACAATCGAGACTACACTGTTCTTTTAACGGGGATAACTTGGCTAAGAATGAAGTAATATGACTGAAATTTTCAACATATTCCCTTTTCATTATCAATGTTTGAACCACTTACGAGAACTGTCGGCTCTATACCTAAATGTTACATTATTCACCTTTTTAAAACTTGCCTGTTTGGTGCAGAAAAGTAACACATAAAATTACATTTTAAAATTGTTACCAGAAAATTGTTTTTTTTTTACAAAAAGCTGAATTTAATTTGAGACTTTTTATTTGTAGACTTTATATTGACAGTTCTTTTCTATGTTTTTGTAGACATTTACCTAGAGAAGTAGATCCATTAGTGTATAATATGTCAGCTGAAGATCCTGGATGTGTTAGTTTTAATCAAATTGGTGGATTAGCTGAACAAATCCGTGAGTTACGAGAGGTAAACATATTGTTCAGTCATTCTAAAATGGTTTTCTCCGGGTCCTCCGGTTTCCTCTCAAGCGAATTTTTGAAATAACCACAGGTTAGTCCAGAAATGACCGGGTTTGTGTCGAGTGGAGGTTAAACCTCATTTCTCTTTCTGTTACTCATTCTAAAATTGTATTTTCTGACTGGTACAGCTTAAGTCTTAATCATATTTTAGCCCGATGATGACAAATAATAAGTGAGGTCGAGTCTAAGTCTGATTGTTTCTTTTTTCTCGTCTAATTTTCCTCCCTCTTTTATCCCCTCTTCTTCTATCACCTCATCACTCTAAACAATCAGACTGAACACAGACACTAATGATTCATGGATTATGAGAGCTGAGGGCTAAAAGGATGATATACTAGTTTAAAAAAAATTTTTTGTACCAGCCTGTAATCTCGATGGATGCTGCCCTAATTTTTGGTAACCGAGAATCATGCTTCTTAAATCAATGTAGTGGGTAGAATATTGTGTTTAAAATTTATACAGATTTGAAATGGAAGTCAATAAGTAAGGGACTGGTCCCGAGTTTGATTTCAATCTTGTCTTAGAAATTTCTTTAGGATTTCCAGCTTGGTTCCCCCCCTTGTCAGCGATAAAGGACAAGCAGTTGGACAAGGTACAGCATCTGGTTGTGTGATTGGGAACGAAAAGCCCAGGTCCTTGTGCACGTAAAAAGAACCCTTGGCTTTGGAATTTGTCGAGGAGTAGGCGGAACCCCAACTGTCCAGGCAAATTTTCCCTCATAACACACTGTATGGTATGTATATGCCTGTCTTCATTAGCCTGGATGGTGAAGAAAAGTAGGACGCTAAATCCCATTTCATTTCAGATTCAAAGTAATATTATGTTTTTTCTTGTTTATTTATTAACAATACAACGTGAATGTTTTTAATGTATTACAGGTTATTGAGTTACCATTATTAAATCCTGAATTATTTATGCGTGTAGGTATTACACCACCTAAAGGTTGTTTATTATATGGTCCACCTGGTACAGGTAAAACTCTACTAGCTAGAGCTGTTGCTAGTCAACTAGATTGTAACTTCTTAAAGGTAAGTCAAACATCTTATAGAATTTATGTAAACTTTATATATAGTCTGAAGCATTGACCTGTTGTCTATTTTCTCTGGTGTCTCACTAAGTATGGCCCTGAGTCATTGACCGACAGGTCCCAGTTCGATCCCTGTTTTGTCAGAGAAAGTTCCTGGGGATTTGTCAGCATGGTTTCCCCTTGCCAGTTGTGCAGTATAGAGGGACTTGAGAGGATTTATGTCTAGTTATTTGGATGGGACAAAAAAAGAAGAGCCTGTGTACAAGTTGGCGTGCACATAAAAGATCCTTTCACATGTGGAATTTGACAAAGAGTAGGCAGAAATGGGAGGATGGGTGGCTGAATGGTTAACACGTGCATATTGGATCACAAGGTCTGTCATTGGGTCAAGTGGCTTGGTTTTCGATTCCCCGCTTATACATGACAAGGAGTAGGGGTTGCCTGTCCAACATTGTGGGTTTTCTCTGGGACCCCCGGTTTCTTCCCACTGCTAAAGACCCCTATGTGCAAGTGAATTATTGAAATAAAATTAAACCATATGTTATACCCGAAATGACCTAGTTAGTGTTGAGTGGACATTAAACCCCATCTCTCTCTCCTTTCTCTTATAATTATCTAAGTTGGTGCAGGATAGTAGGACGTTAAACCCCATTTCATGAAAACAGACAATATTATCCACTCAATGATGACAAATAATAAGTGAGGTCGAGTCTAAGTCTGATTGTTTCTTTCTCTTGTCTAATTTTCATCCCTCTTTTATCCCCTCTTCTTCTATCACCTCATCACTCTAAACAATCAGACTGAACACAGACACTAATGATTCATGGATTATGAGAGCTGAGAGTGTGTAATATTATTGTTCTGTATGTAAAATAATCTTTTAAACAGCTGTCTAGTCATTCGGATAAGACAAAAAAACGATGTGCCATGTATACATTGGCATGCGCGTATCAGAACCCTTGGCGGTTGGAATTTGATATAATAGTAGGCCATAGTGCCGCTACCAGGGCAAAATTTCCCTCATAGCGCACTGTATGGTGTATGCCCGTCTTCATTAACCCAGTTGGAGCAGAACAGTAGGACGTTAAACCCCACTTCATTTCATTTCATAATGCAACCATGTTGTTATAAGTCATTTCTTTCCCTTTGGATAATTTTCTTTTACTTGATATTGTAGGTAGTATCTAGTGCTATAGTTGATAAATATATCGGAGAGAGTGCCAGATTAATTCGTGAAATGTTTGCCTTTGCCCGAGACCATGCTCCATGTATTATTTTTATGGATGAGATTGATGCTATCGGTGGTCGACGATTCTCGGAAGGTACCTCCGCTGACAGAGAAATTCAACGAACATTGATGGAGGTAAAAATATTAGATTATAGTAAATCTATTTAACATGACAAGCAACATTTACCAGTTAGACATCGGGTACTTTCATCATCAACTTGAACATGAAAAATAACATTTGTTTGTTAGAAATGGATTAATAATGCCTTGTCTGGCCCTTGCACCATCTACTTTACATTGATAATACATTTACTGGGCCATTTAAACCCTCTAGCTCCTCAATCTATCGGACACGCGCATGAATAACTGTGAACTGCATTTCATTTCTATTAGTATGACTCAGGCGGACTAGGGAGTAGTAGTTTCGAGAAGTTTTAAAAATGAGCTGCAAAATTTTTTATAAAGAATCTCTTTTCTCTGTTTTATTCATGGAACGTCTGCTAAAGGATTGATGAAATGTAGGCCTAAGTCACAAAGCAGTCTCTCAATCTAATGAAAGATGTTAATATACTAAACTTTATAATGTTTATATTAATTATTGAGTCAAATGTAGGCCCATATATCGTACTAAACTTGGTTATAAATGTTTATATCAATTATTGAATCAAATGTACTCGATATATCATACTAAAGTTGATTATAAATGTTTATATTACAGTTATTAAATCAGATGGATGGTTTTGATGCATTAGGTCAAGTTAAAATGATAATGGCTACTAACAGACCCGATACTCTAGATCCTGCTTTATTACGACCAGGTCGTCTCGATAGAAAAATAGGTTTGTAAATTTTCGTCTTTATATAAATTGAGGACAAACTGAGCTAGGGGTCATTTAACAATGATATGAAACAGATCCTGTTTCACAGATTATACAGTAAGATTATGTAGACGTTCAATGGAGTTATATAGTAAAATATTTGATTTACATCTACATAACCTTTACAAATGCTGCAGCCAGGGTGACTCATGGAATAAGACAGTGGCTCACTAACTTGGAGGTCCCATGTTCAATACCGGTGTTGACTGAGAAATTTCATCGGGATTTTCCGGCGTGGTTCCTCCATGTCAGGGATGCAGGACAGAGGGCCTGGCAAGGGACAATGTATAGTCATTCAGGTCCCATGTACAGACAATGGCAAGCACGTAAAAGAAACCTTGACAGTTGGTATTCGATATAAGAGTAGGCTGTACTACTGCGCTATCAGGGAAAAATTTTCCTCATAGCACACTGTATGGCGTATGCCCGTCTATATTAGCCCAGCCCAGTCGTTGCAGAACAATATGACGTTAAAACCCCTTTCAAATTTCTTACAAATGCTTTGTGAAACAGAACAAAGACTGTTTCAAATTCCAGTTAAGATTAATGTAAGATTTACTTTATCCGAGAGATGAAGCAGGGAAATACATTAAATATTTTTAAACTGCTGTTTATCTGTGGTAATTTGAGAGTGTATCTGTAATTCATTGTTTTGGGACTGGATTTAGTATTGAAAATTTTTTATCATTTATGTTTTTGATGTCTGCTTAGCCCAATGATGACAAATAATAAGTGAGGTCGAGTCTAAGTCTGATTGTTGCTGTTTCTCGTCTAATTTTCATCCCTCTTTTATCCCCTCTTCTTCTATCACCCCATCTTTCAAACAATCAGACTGAACACAGACACTAATGATTCATGGATTATGAGAGCTGAGGGCTAATAGAAATTTTACTTTTATTACTTGCAGATATATTCTTCTTTGATAGGCATTAGTAATTTAATTAATTAACACAAGGTACAATTTTACAGGTACACAATTACTGGGTTTAATACTATGTTACGTTTACTTGATAAAGACGAGGGGAGAGTCGGATGGCCGATTGGTTAGCGCATGCGCGTTGTATCATAAAGGTCTTGTCATTGAGTCAAATGGTGTGGTTTCAATTCCCCGTTCGTACATGGCAAGGAGTAGGGTCATCTGTCCAACCTTGTGGGTTTTCTCCAGGTCCTCCGGTTTCCTCCCACTGCTAAAGACACCTACGCAAAAACAAATTATTGAAATAGAATTAAACCATATTCTAGTCCGTGAAATTACCTAGTTTGTGTCGAGTGGACATTAAAACCATTTCTCTATTTCTCTCTCTCTTTCTGATAAAGACAAAAGTATCATAGTAATAAATGCAGTAATTGTGTATCCATAAAACTTATGCTTGTTAAATATATTCTTGTCCATGAATTGTTTATTTAAATTTGTTTATCTTTGTGTGGAATATTTTCAGAAATTCAGCTACCTAATGAACAAGCTAGATTAGAAATCTTGAAGATTCATGCATCTCCTATAGCTAAACATGGGGAAATAGGTAGGTACTAATTGTCAATCTAATGACCCTCGGTAAAACTTGGGATGTACAATTTATTATATACCTGCAGACAAAGGGTTTGACATGGAACAGTGTCTACCAGTTGTTTGGTGCAAAACACTTGGACGTTGAACCCAATTGGATTTATTATCCACTAAGATACAGCGGAACAAATAGTGCTGAACACAGGGGCGAGTGTTCTAATCGTACAAGAGGGGGGATGGGTGAATGGTTAGCATGTGCGCGCTGTACCATAAAGTCTGTCATTGAGTCAACTGGCGTGGTTTCGATTCCCCAGTTGTACGTAACAAGGAGTAGGGTTGCCTGTCCAACCTCAAGGGTTTTCTCCAGGCCCTCCGGTTTCCTCCCACTGCTAAAGACCCCTACGCGCAGTTGAATTATGGAAATAAAATTGAACCCCATGTTAGTCCCGAAATGACCTAGTTTGTGTCGAGTGGACGTTAAACCCCATTTCTCTCTCTCTCTCTCTCTAATTGTACAAGAATACTTGATATACAATTTATTATTTTCAACTAGAACATAGAAGAACAAATAGTGGTGAACACAGGGCCAAGTATTCTTGTTGTACCAGAATACTTTTCTTACAAGAGTATGCATTCAAGTTATTTCAGAATTCGGTACATCATTTGTATTTTTAGGAAAAATATCAAATTTCATTTCATTTGTTATCCCACAAAACATTTTTTGATGTATATTATATTTTATAGATTGGGAAGCTGTAGTAAAGTTATCTGAAGATTTTAATGGTGCTGATCTACGTAATGTCTGTACGGAAGCTGGTATGTTTTCATTTCCATAATAAACTTATTTTCAGTCTGTCCTGGCTCAAAATATCTTTTATATCTGTGGTGTGGTAATCTTACAAAACATTTTACTTTTAAAACAATGTGACAAGAGAGTTGAGTCTTCTTTCCAACCTTGTGGGATTTTTCTGGGTCCTCTGGATTCACCCATATGTAAATCAGATGTTAGTCCCGAAATGACCTAGTTTGTGTCGCTTTGATGTTAAACACCATTTCTCTCTCTCACTTTTAAATGTATTGATAGATATTTCAGTCTTGAACATCAGGACTTTTCAATCATAATGAGTCTATATGATGAACCTATACATTGGTCTTAGGCCCTATGCTAATTTTGCTAGCGGATTATGATTTTAAATGAAACTAAAAGAATATAATATTTTTGTAATTTTTGTTTTAGGTATGTTTGCTATACGAGCTGAGAGAGACTTTGTTTTGGAAGAAGATTTTATGAAAGCTGTTAGAAAGGTTTCTGATAACAAGAAACTAGAATCTAAGTTAGATTATAAACCTCTCTAAATCTTATATTATTGTTAATCATTAGAAGATATTTAATATCAGTCTTGTTCCAACATTGAATTTGTAAATAAAAACTTATTTCATCTATTGTCAAACTTCTCTTTATTAGAACCTGAGATTGGGTGACCAAGTAGTCTAATGAATGCATATAGTCTGTCATTGAGTCAGCTCACTGTAGTTTATATACCAGGCATGTATCTGATGAGTGAGTCGTATGTCAAACTTTATCCGTTTTGTCCAACTGCTAAAGACCCCTGCGCCCAAGTAAATTATTATTGAAATTATAACATACGATACTCCTCATGATACTTGTGTCAAGTGAATGTTAAACTCCACATTTCTTTCTTAAGTCAAGTGGCTTTGGTTTTGATCCCAAACTTGTATATACAAGTAGTAATGTTGCCTGCCTAACCTTGTGGGGTTCCAGAATCTCCAGTTTCTTTCCCACTTCCAGTGAATTATATTATGATAGTTCAAAATAACCTAGTTTGTGTCGAGTGGAAGTTAAACTCCTTTTTAGATCTTTCTTTTAATAAAGTCATCATTGGATTGATAACAGAAATCGTAGAAGATCAATAGCTTGCTCAACTGTGTATAAATCTCAAGTCAATCAGATACTAACTTTAGCATCTAGAGTGTCTACAAGATTTTACAATTGATAAAAGACCAGAACCCACAGTAATTAACTAAAAGATACATTATGGGAGATTCAATACCGAGTTGGCAGTTCTCACTATAATAGTTAAAAACTAGATAACGTAAAGGCAATTTGCTGAAAATTTCATTCAAATTGATCCACTTTGAACCGAAAACTAAACGAATGAAATGTCTGCCTAGCCTCGGTCATCATTACTAAAGTCAGTACAATAAACAGCATAGTCTCGATTATCCATTTAATCGTTTAATCGAGAAGGAAAGTTATGCAGTAAATTGGCTCACAATCCACTTAAGATCGCAGGCTAGCGATGCCGTCTAGAGTTGATTATGGTCTGGATAAGTTAATATCTAATTGATAATTTAGATAACATTTTAGGCCTAAAGAAAGACCTGCAATAGGCAGATTTAGCTCTTGCATAATGTATGTTTAACTAAATCAATAGGATTTTTCACCTATGAAAATAAACACTGGGCACAAGTTTCAACTTTTGCGTCTTGGAGGGTCCAGAAGATTTCTCTGAATTGGAAGTTATAAAAGATTTGGGTCATCGGAATGTTCAAAAAAAGAAATGTCATAGAAATGTCATAGATTTAACAATGGGGAAAGAATTGGTGGTCCAAATCCTGATTACAGACTTCCTAATTGGATTTACCTCCCTTTAACCTAGGTGTACGAATCCTTATTCGAAATGAAATTACATTCAACTTTTCTGCACCAATACTAGGGGTAATAAAGAAGAGCGAGGTTTTTTGTCCCATCCGAACGACTAGACCCTGTTCCTTGCCAAAACCTTCGTCCTGCAATATTGACGTGGAAAAACCACGCTGGAAAATCCCAAAGAACTTTCCTTGGTCAACAACGCGATTGAACCCTTGGGGCTTGATACTGAGTTGTGAGTCCCTTCATAATTGGATACCATATTGATTCTTTTATAATAGTCCGATCAGATACCGTTGCTAAAGTAACTACTTTTATAGTTATTATTTGTGAAGCTAAAATCGGCAGCCCAGTTTCTTTATTAACCACACAGCCGTTTAAAAATAGTTGTGACAGAAAATACACTCAAAGCCATTAAAAACGTAATGCCAAATTCAAAGTTTATTTACTGCAACAACTTTTAACAAATGTACATAACAATTGACAAAATCGAGATAACAAGCATCTGTGGATAATTTCATGAAAGAATTCACTACAAATGCACAAAACCGAAACGTCAGAGAACCATGAAACAAAGCAGGGGTCAGCTGAAGTCAATATCGGATATATGTCCACCCTGAGCTTTTAAACATGCCTGAAGTAGCCTTGGCATGAACTGGCACAGATGTCTCACTAAACGCTGTGGGATTGTTTGCCAATGATTTTGGAGTGCCTGTGCCAACTCTGCAACAGTTCGTGGTGGCACTCCTTGAGTTCGAACCCGTCGACCAAGTTCATCCCAAACTGAGGTTGAATCGGGATTCATCCGAGAAGATGACATTTCGCCATGGTGTGTTTGCCGATATCCCTGATTTGCGGCCCATTGCTGTCTGGCAAGTCGATGACGATGCAAAAGGATTTGACCTTGGTAAGGTCGACGGCAGCGTAATCCAAGAGCAGCCAGACGCCTTCGGACTGTTTTGAGGGCTGATCTGACATTGACGTGTTCCAACAGTTCCCCTGGCAGTAGCAGTACCTGACTGGAACTAGGCATTGCGTTTTTAATGGCTTTGAGTGTATTAAATGTCTGTCAAATTATGCATAGGCTAGGGTTATAGTTTCAGAGTTATGTAAGGAATTCAAAACCGCCCGACACCCTTACATGAGGCCTTACATTTCTGACTTTAACTGGGCATCATCTATCAAAAATAGGTATCAGAGATCATAGCACAGTCTGACCAGAGAGAGAGAGGACCGAGAGAGACAGTGAGGTTTAACCAGGTCATTTTGGAACTAACATTAAAGCATACAATTTTATTTCAATGATTTGTTTGAGCGTTGGAGGACCCAGAGAAAACCCACGAGGTTGGGCAAGCAACTCTACTTCTAGTCACGTACAAGCTTGAGATTGAACGCCATTTCATTTCGAATTATGAATTGTATCCCTAGGTTAAAGGGAGGTAAATCCAATTAAGCAGCCTGCAATCAGGAATTAGACCACTAATTCTTTCGCCATTTACATCATTGTTGAATCTATGACATTTCTTTTTTTGAACATTCCGATGATTCAAATGAAATGGGGGTCAACATCCTACTGTTCTGATCCCACTGGGCTAATAAGAGAGAGAGAGAGAGAAATGGGGTTTAACGTCCACTCGACACAAACTAGGTAATTTCAGGACTAACACATGGTTCAATTTTATTTCAACCATTCGCTTGCGCGTAGGGGTCTTTAGCAGTGGGAGGAAACCAGAGGACCCAGAGAAAACCCACGAGGTTGGACAGTAGACCCTACTCCTTGTCACGTACAATCGAGGAATCCTGGGCTAATGAAGACGGGCATAAGCTATACAGTGTGCTATGGGGCCAACTGCCAAAGGATCTTTTAAGTGCAAGCCAATGTATACACGGGACCTCGGTCTTTTGTCCCATCCGAACGACTAGACAGCTGTCCTTGTCAGGCCCTCCTTCCTACACCACTTACAAGGGAAAACCACGTTGGAAAATCTCCATGTCACAAAACTCTATGACAGACCTAATACGTGGGCTCCAATCAACCACCCAACAGAAAATTCAGATATAAAACTGAAGAAGACAAGTTTAACATGTTTGTATATAGATTTATTTGTTCTGTATTACTGTAAGTAAATAATTCATTCTTTTTACAAAATAACATTTAAAAAAAAAAAACATTTACAAAATATCTTGCAATAATTACTCTTCAAAAACCCAAATCTGCATAGTGAAAAATTATTTACAATTGTATGAGAGACAAGAGTTGTATTCTCATTGCCCTTATTTAAATATACAACAATAAATAGGTCAACATTTTATAAAGAGACCACAGAGGATTTTGTACCCTTAATAAAAAGAGACATTGAATAGAAGTTGGGGTCTGTAATATTGATAGCTGAATAACATTTTGTGGGGTTTTCAGAAAAGGCTTCTGAAGAGACCTCAGAGGATTTGTATGCTTAATAAGAGAAATTTTATAGAATTTGGGATCTAGATCGGATCTGTGCAGAGGTTTAGTGATGCCTCGGGAAATTATTTTCACTCTTCAATTGGGTGTTCCCCTGAAATGGACGCCCAAGGACGTTGCCACTGGCTCTAGAATATCAATAAGTGATATTTTGTGGAGTATTCAGAAAGACTTCTCCTTAATTCATTTATTCATTGATAATGTTAGATCTATTAAAACATGGAGATGTCTCTACAGGGTTTAAATAGTACGAATGATGGGTGAATACAATACATGTATTATTGCATCTGTATTACGGTAATAGAAAAGATCAGAAAAGCTGGATAATTTTAACGCATAATTGAAAGGCCGCATGTGAAATTTACATGTAAAGTGTATTGTGACGGATTCATTTTAATCACAGAGACTTGGAAAATGCTTATCATGACAATTTTATACAATTTATTTGGCTTGATCATTATAAATATTTTCATCAAGTCCCTGTGGGCACTGATAATAAAAACAGTATCAATATATAATAATTGATAATATAAGAAAATAATGTAATATATTATAAGATCTTATCAGAAACATTGTAACTTTATAACGTTAAACCTTTCAACATTTTAACCAGTAATTAAACAGGCATTATGTAAGAGTTAAATCTACCTATTGTAGGTCTTTCTTTAGGCCTTAAATGTTATATAAATTATTAGACATTTATTAATCAACTCTCGATGCCTCGGATGTTCAAGATTTTAAGTAGATTAGAACGGTTCGTCCATTTAATGATTTAATTTAAAAATGGAGAAGCGAGGCTAAGACTCGAATGACCAGTACGGTGCTTACAATCAATGAACACATCTGGTCAAACCTTCAAACAGTTATAACTTCGCTTAAAATAAAGTAATTTGAATGAAATTTTCAATATATTCATTTTGCATTATCTACTGTTGAAATAATATAGCAAGAACGGACAGCTCTTTATCTAAATCTTACATAATGCCCCTTTAAATCCTATGTAGGACTAAATGTTTCAGTTTTCAATAAAGTTTATTTTATGGACGGTTTAAGTCTACAATAGTGAATTAGTTTAAAAGTATACAAAGATGTTGGGGTCCATCTAAGACTTCAACTTAACTTTGATCCACAACAATTATAATAAAGGGACCTGTCACACAATGTCACGTAAGTCTGAACAGTTCGTATATGAACGAATCTAGTAGCTTTAGAAGAGAGTAATCGGTGACGACTACCCACCACTATCAAGCCTGGAAATAAGGCACCTGTCACAGACAATGTCAGGCACAGATGCAGGCTTTGTCAGGCACTAAACCTCTGGTGCCTGTCATTTTGTCTGGCACTGATTTGTCTTTCTTATTGATATTGTTAATACATGTCCGGCACTAAGGTGAAAATGTCAGGTACTATTTCATTAGTGCCTGACATTTTGTCAGGTACCTGTAAAACCGTTATTTCCAGGCCTGGCCACTATATAGATTTCAAATTTTAGTCAATGTTAAATTTGATGTAAAAATACAAACTGATTGTACAAAATAGTATATAAGAAATATATGGGTGTTGAAAAAAAGTATTAATGATGTCAAATCTTTTGAAATAATTTTTAACTTCGCAAACGTTAATCACACACAGGCATTGAATTCATAAAACTGAATATATTCCTTATTTGGAGAATTTCAACAGAGATAATTCTGTAATTCCGAAGGTTCTGAGAGTTATTCAGGCTGTCAATAAAGCTGTAGTATTATTTGTGTGTGTGTCGAGGGGGGGGGGTTGTAGGAACACAATTCCAGATCTTTGATATTTCAGAAACTGTTTCATAATATCACTGCTAAGAGGTAGTTTGTCCCATGGGTTCTCCATGTCGGCCATATATGCCGGTCAACTTTGCCCCTATAGGACCTCCATATAGATCTAACACACGTAATTATTTCATGTATGAAAATCAAAATTTAGGGAAATCTTTGAAAAAAACAATTTCACAAAGAAGAGAAAATTGTATTTTTCTATAAATATTGAAAACAAATAAATTCATCTTAAAATAAAACAATTTTTCTTTCTTCTAATTTTTCGATGAATTTTGAGATTAGCACTAGTATGGAAACTACATTGTTCTCCTCAAACACACAAGCACTGATATGTTATTTTGTTCAAAATGTCCGTTATAGCTAAGTCTCTGTTTATATATAGAGTAGCACTGACAATATATATATTTCTTCACAACACTAGATAAACATATTGCACTAGTCTGTCTGTTCCTTTCGTAACTTTGGTAATATTTGCAGGTTTTATGGAGTCTTGGGTCGAACTCTGGGATATAACTGAAAATAGAACACACAATACCATAAATATATACATTTCTCTTCTTTGATTGGTATTTGCCTCAAAGCACACTGTATGCCGTATGTCCGTCTTCATTAGCCCAGTTCGGAGCTGAACAGTAGGACGTTAAACCCCATTTCATTTCTATTTGATTTAAGGTTATTTTTTCTGTGTGTAATTGGCAACATTAGTACATCGATGTTATAACAATAATCTTGCTTCCTATTGTTCACGGAAAAACAAGAAATAATATAAAAACAACCAAATACTTGATTGCTCTTCGCAAAAACTTTTAGTTCAAATTTGTATGTTTTTGAATTGTAAACCGAGTGGATATTTATTTATCAACAACTAACAATTAAATTGTTTGGGCCTAAATCCAGGGACCTTGTTTTTTTTGTGCAATTCAAACAACTCAACACTGTTTCAGGCCAGGCTCTCTATCTTGAACCACTGGCAAGGGGAAACCACTCCAGAAAATACTGAGAAACTTTCTCAGACAACACTGGTATCAAACTCTTGTCAGGTATAGAGAGAAGAGAGAGAGAGAAATACGGTTTAATGTCCACTTAACACAAACTAGGTCATTTCGAGACTAAAATATGGTTCAATTTTATTTCAATAATTCATTTGCGCGTAGGAGTCTTTAGCAGTGGGAGGAAATAGGATGACCCAGAGAAAACCCACGGGGTTGGACAGGCAACTCAACTCCTTGTCACATACAACCGGTGAAACGAAAACCACGCCAGTTGACTCAATGACAGACCTTATGATACAGCACACACACGCTAACCATTCGGCCAACCAACCTGCCTCATTAATTCCAGGGCTGATAAAATGTAAACGTACCCCTAGAAGATTTCTGGCTACATAACCTTCTTTATTATTTAATCTGGCCCACCACCATTCCTTCTCCTTCTCATCTCCTTTACGTAATATTATCATCTTATCCCACATCTTAAAAGTCAACTCATCTCCATTCGTAGCTTCATAATCGAAAACCGCCCAAACTTCTCCATTGTGCATTATACCAAGTTTTTCTTGGACACCTAAAACAAATAAAGAAAAAAAAGTTATAAGTGTTTAATTATAGATTAAAAGCTGCCGGAGGCGGGGACTCGAGTCCGACTTAAGTCACATCAAAGACCCAACTTGCAACTCGACATATTATCGTGACTAGAGACTCAACTCAAACTTGGCAGTCATGAAAACTCTCGCACAACTCTAACTTGCCTTATTCGGCTTGAATTAATTAATAGATTAAAAGCAGCCAAAGGTGGGAACTCAAGTTCAACTTAAGTCACATCAAAGACCCAACTTGCGACTCGACTTGACTAGAAACTTGACTCAGACATGGCAGTCGTGAAAACTCTCGACTTCAAAGCACTTAGGCCTCAAGTCGCAGAGAGGGAGCATAATTCACCTTGCCTTATTTGGCTTGAATTGCTGACTCCATTTGATGAATACGGCAACTTGAGGGGGACTTGGGCTTTGTGGAGATGTCAACTCGACACTAAAGTTATCTACTTGGGACTCGACTCATACTTTACAAAATGAAATGAAATGAAATGGGGTTTAACATCCTACTGTTCTGCTCCAAAGGGGCTAACGAAGACGAGGATATCCCATTCAGGCCCTCCGTCCCGCACCACTGACGAGAAACCATGTTGGAAACAGACTTTACAAGCAGTATATCAAATTAGTTTACTTACTGTAAAGATAATCAGAACATCCGTCATAACCATCTTCATCTTCTTCACATTTCTCTGCCGCTGTTTCTTGATCACTGATTGTCGTGGCGAATATACACGCTCCGTGTTCTACCAGTAGTTTTACCATGGGTAAATTATTACAAGATGCAGCACAATGTAATGGTGTCCTGAAAAATACAACAACACAAAATATTACACTTTAATAAAATGAAAGAAATGGGGTTCAGTGTCCTACTGTTCTGCTTCGACTGGGCTAATGAAGATGGGTAGACCGGAGGCTCAGCGCGGGGGGGTGTCCCTCAAATGGGCACAAAACCAGACCCAACTTTTTGACCTCTGGGGTCACAAAGAACAACGGTGAATTTAGCAAGTTTACATTTTTATTGAAAGTGTGATTACTTTCGATCAATTTCAGCTTATTTTCATGATACAAGAATGACCGCGCATTCACTTTCAGTGCAAATGAACCCATTACCATTTGACCTTTGACCCCGATTACCACTCGGTATCGTATTGTGCCCATTTGATGGACACGCTCCCGCGCTGAGCCTCCGGACTAGGGCATACACCATACAATGTGCTATAAGAGAAATGAAATGGGGTTTAATGTCCTATTGTTCTGCTCCGACTGGGCTAATGAAAACGGGCATAGCCATGTAGTGTGTTATGAGGGAAATTTTACCCGGATAGTGGTGCTACAGCCTGCTCTTATATCGAATTCCAATAGTAATCTTCCGCTTTGGATAAAGTTGGATTACTTGTGTGTGTATTGTCGAAAGAAACTCAGAATTCTGGAATATTAGTCTTATAACTGGATTTAAAAACAAAGACTTTTTTGAAAATAAATCTTTTATAAAACTTACCATCCATCACTATCAGGAGAATTAACATCACAACCAAACTCTAATAAAAATTTGACGATTTCATAATGACCAGCACATATAGCGTTATGTAAAGCTGTTATACCCTCATCATTAGGGGCACTAACATCAGTTACCTAAAATATATAATAAACATCACAACTTTATACATTGTACATAAAATTCATAAAGTATATAATATACATCACAACTTTAGTACATAAAATTCATAAAATATATAATATACATCACAACTTTTATACATTGTACATAAAAGAGAGAAAGAGAAATGGGGTTTAACTTCCACTCGACACTAAGTAGGTCATTTCGGGACTAACACATGGTTCAATTTTATTTCAATAATTCGCTTGTACGTAGGGATCTTTAGCAGTGGGAGGACCCAGAGAAAATCCACGAGATTGGTCAGGCAACCCTACTCCTTGTCACCTACAAATGGGGAATCAAAACCACGCCAGTTGACTCAATGACAGACCTTACGATGCAACGCTAACCATTCGGCCATCCAACCCCCCAATTATTTCAAAGATGGTATTTTAAGAGAATTTACCTGAGAAGCTGTCCTCTTCACTAATTCCAGTTCCCCTTCAAGAGAAGCATCCAGTAATAAAGCCAGTGGATCGAAACTCACTCGATTTTTTGACTTATTTGGATTATTTCCTTTTAAATTACTTCTGACACGTTTTAAAACTTTTGATTTTTCTGTTTTATTTTTATTTATGTTCGTATCCTTTTCTGATTTGTTCTTTTCCTGTGATTCATTTTTGGAATTATTGCTGTTATCGGAACTTTCGGATTTGGAATTATCCAAGGAATTGTTTTTCTCTTTGACTCGGATTAACATTTTTGTGACCTCCTCGTTATCGCTGTCCGAATGTCGACGACGGATATGTTTTGGTGTGTTCAACTTGTAACTAACTTTATCAGATGTGATATTGGTGTTTTGCGGAGAACTCATCATTCCAAAATGAGAATGATTAGCTTTCACTGGTCCACTAGATGGCATGACAGGTATGCGTTGAGCGAAAGACGTTTTTTCTTCGGTGTCTGTTTTTGAAGACGGACCGTTATTTTCCGGTTCCGGAGAACTGTCCTTAGGTTTGTAAAGTAAGTTCATATTTTTCTGATATTTTTCAAATGCGGCTCCACCGAGTCGACTCATGTAAGTATTTGCTATGACACTCTTTGGTGCGTATCTGTAAGTAGGTTTCTGGCCACCGTTTGGAGAACCAGGTTGAGTTGTATTTGATTCATTGTTCGCAATGGGTGTCGACGTAGCTTGCGGCTGGCCGGGTCCTGGTCCAGGTGCTGGGGAATCGAAAATAACTTTAGCAGAGTCAACGACATCAAGATTCGGTTGTTTCGGTGGATCTTGTCGGATCGCTGTGGGTTGGACATTTTTGCTTTTAACAGCGGGACCCGGATCCTGTTTTAACGTTGTTGTCCGAATGGGAACGGGTGGAGGAGGAGGGCGCGTTCCTGGACGTGTGACAGTTGTTCCCGTTGACGATTGCGAAACCCGACTGCGTGTAGGTAAAGGCTGTGATGACTTTGTTGATTGGTTTGTAGTTGTTCCGTTCGGTGAAGTTTGAGCACTGTCACTAGATGCTGGTGAACTTTGACCGCTACCCGCTTGTCGTTCTTCCTCCGTAATACTGATGACCGGCTGCTGAACGGGACCCGCGACACGATTCACAACACCAGACGAACTACCGAAAGGTTTAGGTGTTAAATTAGCGATATTGCTTACAATACTTGTTCGAGGCACATTTTGAGCATTGGGCTGACTTTGACTACCTGAAGGGTTCTGTTGTGGCACTCTGTAAGAAACTGGCCGTGGAGCCGGAAACGAAGGAGGCACTGTTCCGTTTGATATCTTTTTATTCCACTCCGATATCCGACTATCGATTTTATTCTGAACGTTATTATTCATTTCTTTACCATCGTCTTTCATTTTAATATCGATATCGTCCAACTTGGGTTTTTCGGAGAGAAATTTCGAATTTTGAGGTAGCGATTTGTACTTTGGATCGTGCTTAATGAAGCCAGTGTTTGAATATAAGTCATCCTTTGTAACATCTTTAGCGGGATGTTGTATATATGGTTCTACGGCCGCGATATTTGACGAAGATGGCTTCTTGTTCTGGTTCGAGTTATTTCTATTTGCGGCTAATTGCAATTTACGTTTCTTTAATCGTTGTTGTAATTCGTGAATTCTGTTGTCCATCTTGGTCGTGTCGTCTTTTTTTTTCTGCAGCAGATCTCGTTTTGCTACCAGCTTGTTGTTTTGTTGTTGATGCATTTGATTCCTCATCTGAAATATACAAATTAATAATTTACATCACAAAATATAACAGAGAGAGAGAGAGAGAGAGAGAGAGAGAGAGAGAGAGAGAGAGAGAGAAAGAGAGAGAGAGAGAGAGAGAGACAAAATGAAATGAAATGCTATTTAACTTTCTACTGTTCTGCTCCAACTGGGCTAATGACGAAGGGTATACACCCAACAGTGTGCTATGAAAGATATTTTCCCCGGGCAGCGGCACTATGGCAAACTCATATCGAATTCCAACTGTCAACGAATCGTTTACGTGCACGCCAATGTATGAAGGGGAAACTAAGTCAGAAAATCCTGATGTACTTTCTTAGCAAATGCAGGGATCAAACATGTGACCTCCAGGCTAGCCATCCAGAGACAGAGAGAGAAAGATGGCGTTCACTTGACACAAACTAGGTCATTTCAGGACTAACATACGGTTCAATTTTATTTCAATAAATCATTCGTGCGTACAAGTCTTTAGCAGTGGGAGGAAAAGAGTGGACACAAAGAAAGCCCAAAAGATTCAGAAAAAGCTCCTACTCCTCGTCTCTTAAAACAGGGAAATTTTGCCCAGACAGTGGCACTACGGCCTACTCTTACATCAAATTCCAAGGGATCTTTTACATGCATGCCAATGTATACTGGGACCTTGGTTTTTCATCCCATCTGAACAACTAGACAGCTGTCCTGATCAGGCCCTCCATCCTGCACCACTGACAAGGGGAAACCATGTCGGGTAAATTCCGATGAGCCCACTGACAAGGGGAGGATTAAATTACAATAAAGTCATCTAATACTTACCAATAATTCTTTTTTAAGTTTTTCGAGTTCTGCGGCTGCAGCGTTCCTAGTTTCCCCGTTTATACCATGTAACTTGGCGTGTTTTAAATCTTCTAACTGTCTGGTTAATTGTTCTACCTTGGCTACGGCTAACGTTAATTCCTTCTCCTTCTCATTAAACATGGCTTTTACAGAATCGAGTTCTGAATCTAGAAAATATGAAATACCTAAATGACAACAAACATAATATTCAAACAATTCTTAATTGATATTAATTACATAAATTAAATGAGTCACTTTGTGTTTACCCTGTGAAATAGTTATCACTGAAACATGAGGTACCTCGATATACACACTAGCGTGCACGTAAAAAGATCATATGACAGTTGGAAAACAAAGCAGAGTAGGAGAGAGAGAGAGAAATGGGGTTTAATGTCTGCTCTACATAAACTAGGTCATTTTGCGACTAACATATGGTTCAATTTTATTTCAATAATTCTCTTGAGTGTAGGGCTCTTTAGCAATGGGAGAAAACCGTAGGACCCAGAGAAAAGCCACGAGATTGGATAGGCGACCCTACTCCTTGTCACGTACAACTGGGGAATCGAAACCACACCAGTTGACTCAATGACAACCTTTATGATACAACACACATGTACTAACCATTCAGCCAACCAATCCCCCCTCCCCTCCCCCCACAGACAAAGGGAAACCATAAAGTTTCTATGTGAGAGAAACAGATATTCCTGTTTTAACCAAGAAAGTCATTTCTATAATGAAAATTCAAACTACTCACTTGTTGTTGCAGTATTATTTTTCTGTTGTTCGACTTGACCCTGTAGGGCTCGTAATTTCTTTAACTTCATTTCTTGAGCCTCTACCTTGTCACGGAGTCTACGGAGTCGATCGTGTTCCGTCGAAATTTGTTGGTGTTTGTATTCCTGTTGTTTCAGATATTTCAAACGTTGTTCCTTAGCAACCAATACCTGTTGTTGGCTTTCTATCTGCTGCTGTTGTTTGGCGGCCATTTCTTGCAGCTCATTTAGTGTAAGGTCCATACCACCCGGCAACTAAAAAAAAGATAAAAGTTTGAATATTAAATAAAAAGTTTAAAGAATCCATAATATTTTAAAGCAAATATTATTCAATTTCTCAGTTTCTATGGAGTACAAATACTATTTATTACTGAGTGAATTTTCAACAAAGATTATCTAATCTTTATTTAGCAATAAAGAAGCCTAGTTGAAATGAAATGAGGTTTAACGTTCTACTGTTTTGCTTCGACAAGGCAAATGAAGATTTGTATATGCCATACAGTGTGCTATGAGGTAATTTTTGCCTGGACAGCGGGGCACTATGACCTACTCTTATATCAAATTCCAAATGCCAAGGGATCTTTCAGTTGCACGCCAATGTGTACACGGAACCTCGTTTTTTGTCCCATCCGAATGACTAGACAGCTATCCCTGTCAGGCCTCTCCGTCCTGCACCACTGACAAGGGGAAATCACGTCAGAAAATCCTGATGAACTTTCTCGACCAATGCAGGGATCGAATAATCGAAATGTTTCTCAGTAACAAACAGTAATCATATTCCATAGAATCCTGTCCTGCGTATTTCCAATTCAATTATTAAATACAATTAAAAAACTTTCTGAAATAAAAGGACATTTGTATAAAATATATTTGTATAAGCTGGACCCTTTTTTAATTTATAGTCAAGTATCATACAGGTAAAATCATCTAGTAATTAAAACGAAAAATAGCCAATTTCATTTTGAAATATTCTAACCAACATCAAAATTCCACATTGACAATTATCAAATCCAATTGAATTTCAAAATATTCTAACCAAAATCCAATTTGATTTCAAAATATTCTTACAAAATCCAAATTGATTTCAAAATATTCTAACCAAAATACAAATTCCTCATTGACAATTATCAAATTCAAAATCAAACATAATTCCCAATAAATAAAAAACTTACACATTTCATTCTAATGCCAGAAATACCACAAATATCAAACTGACAAGAGATTATAAATATAGGAAATGGTGGCTTAATTCACAGCCAGTAACTTGTCATAAAATGGATATTATAAATATCAATATAATCCTGTTTAAATCGTCTAACAGGACACTGAAACTATTTTTACCATGAGAATGTTTACAACTTGTCATAAAATTGATATTAATAAATAATATGTACATTTATACAGCGTACAGTTCCATGCATTCTCAATATAAAACCTGTTTAAATGGTCTAACAGGACAGTGAGATTATTTTTACCATAAGAATGTGAAGTTACAGTGTTTATAAAGTTTGATGTTGGCTTGTATAAAATGATGACACAAGCTGTGTCTGCTATCACAACATGTTGTCATAGCTTTTTATTAATCTGTGTCATGATATGATTGAATGACATTGACTGACACCCTTTTGATTAAGGTCTGCAGATTAAAGGCACCCAACCAATCAAATCTACAGTAAAATCTTTATAACCCTTAATTAATCATCAATTCATTTAATGGCATCCTTCCAATCAAGACTTTTAAAACATATTATATATTTAAACTATGTATGATAAACATCAATCGATTCCCCAGTTGTACGTGACAAGGAGTAGGGTCACCTGTCCAACCTTGTGGGTTTTCTCTGGGTCCTCCGGTTTACTCCCACAGCTAAAGACCCCTATGCGCAATTGAATTATTGAAATAAGATTGAACCATATGTTAGTCCCAAAAGGACCTAATTTGTGTCGAGTGGACGTTAAACCCCATTTCTCTCTCTCTCTTCTAAATGTAGCCTATATAAATCAGTAATGGTTAATTGAACTAAAACACATAAGAGGATTCTGATTATCCGTGATCGCGATCGTGTAATAGTGTAGGTGACATCACTGATGATGTAATGATTATAATCCAATCATATTTATAGTCTATATTTATCTGATCACCGTATTATCTACGTGCTTATCAAACTATTATATAACAATATTACATAAAACACCTGATAGCCATGGGCTATAGTCATCGACCTTTAAACTCAGATTCTTAACCTAAAAACATTTCATTTTGGTCAAAATTTACAAACCTCCAATTCAGAAAGAGATAGAGAGAGAAATGGGGTTTAACGTCCCCTCGACCCAAACTAGGTCCTTTTGGGACTAACATATGGTTCAATCTTATTTCAATAATTCGCTTAGGCGTAGGGGTCTTTAGCAGTGGGAGGAAACCGGAGGACACAGAGGAAACCCATGAGGTTGGACAGGCGACCCTACTCTTTGTCATGTACAACTGGGAATCGAAACCAAACCAGTTGACTCAATGGCAGACCTTATGATAACCATTCGACCATCCAACTTCATTTAAAAAGTTCGTCAACTGAACTTCAACCTCATTTATTGAAAAAATGTGTACATGTTAATGGAGTTTCTCTCTCTCTCTCTCTCTCTCTCTCTCTCTCTCTCTCTCTCTAAAAATATATATTTTCTACATTTTGTTCATAGTTCAGTCACCTTTATCCTTGGACAAATATTTAATATGAGATTATATAACAAACACTGAGTGTAAAGTCTGGTCCTGAAGTTAATCTGGTTGATGTAAACATGTCCAATTTAAATAGGTTTAAAATTTTTATCAATGTATTACATAAAATGCAGAAAAAATCTACAGGTTTTTTTTTGATTTTAATAATAACAATGAAGCTAGCCTTGAGTTTTAAATTTTACTTTCTTATATAAGTAAACTTATAGTATAAAAAACACACGACTTCACTCAATTACAGACCTTCCGATCTAACGAGCACACATTAATCCATTCGGCCACCCAAACCCCAAAGTTAAAACATCGATACAGAGAAAAACAGCAGTAAAACATTGCAGAAGACAATAAAATAGTATGGAAAATACAATATTGACATTTCTAATACCCATAACGCCTTTCTTCCGTTCTTCCACCGTGACTTGCCAAAATATTTTAAAGACAAATATCGTACACCAATTGAACACAGAAGTGCAAACAGTAAACTTCAACAATTTAACGCATGTTACTGCCTATACGGGTCATGATGTCATGACAAACTGACTAGTGCCAGGATACCAGGAAGGGATATAGAGGGAAGTAGACGGACCAGCACCAGAGAAGAACACGGAGGGGGAGAGAAGTGAATTTGGAAATTAAACTTTATTAACTTACGGCATATTGACATATTACACCAGTGCTGTAGTGTAATACTATTGTAATTCTTAGCAAAACCCCAGTACTTGAAGCCTATAATGCTATTGGAATCCATAGTACACTCACATTTTAGCAAAGCTTGAGTTTTTGCACCCAAGTAGGCCTACAACAGGAATTCTTATAATTAGCACACCGCCAATACTTGCAACCCAACACCTTCTGGAAACCATGATATTGTAGACCCACACCGTAACAAAGCCTCTGTACTTGTACCCTATCTACTAGTGGAATTCATGATATACATTCAAGTACCTAAATTGACAGTAACGAAATGAAATGGGGTTTAACATCCTACTGTTCCGCTCCGAACTGGGTTAATAAAGACAGGCATATGTCATACAGTGTGCTATGAGAGAAATTTTGCCTGGACAGTGGCACTACGGCCTACTCTTATATCAAATTCCAACTGTCAAGGGATCTTTTTACGTTCACGCCAATGTGTACATGGGACCTCGGTTTTTCGTCCCATTCGAATGCCGATACATTGTCCCTTGCCAGGCTCTCTGTTCTGCACTACTAACAATGGGGAACCATGCCGAAAAATCCTGATAAACTTTCTCGGCCAAAGCAGGGATCGAAGACGTGACCTCCAGGTTAGCGAGCCACTGTCCTACCCACTGAGCCACCATGGCTCCCATTGACTGTAACACTGTAGGAACAGGCCCATAACTAGTCCCCCCCCCCAATAGATATACATTGTCCGTCAAATTCACCACACCCCTGAGAACACTTCCCGCGCTACCTCTGAGCTAGTTACGACCCTCTGTAGAAATTCATAGTACACCCACATTTCAGTAACACCCCCGTAATTTCAACAGATATCAAAGTTTACTTACTAAATACACCAACTTGGCATGAACCACGAAATATCCATCTTCCGTATTCATTGTTTTAATTATCAAATGACTCATCTGACACAATTAATAACAAAACTTCACAAGGTCAAAAAAATAAAAAACACCACAAATCGTCACACATGTTAATTAATCTAAAACTGCTAATAAATTAAACTGCATACAGCCATGAGTCATTTAACCTTTGTGAATTTGAATAAATTTTTTTTAAGTAAAACAATTGCATATGTCCACAGTTTTAACAAGTTTTCACTTTGTTAAACTTTCCAGAAACACCGAATATTGTATGAAACATATTCTTTTAAACATGTCGTTACAGTTCACAAGTTGGCGAAAAATGTAACATTTTGGACTGAAGTACTCGTAAAACTGAACTCTAACATTAAGTAATAAGATTTAAATAGTTCACTACGGAAACTAACTTAAGTAACGTGGTTAAGATACTCGTAAAAAGTTCAGAGATAATTCTCGAGAATGACCATCAAGCACAAACCAAATGTTAACCCCATTTATCAGATGCTTAAAAAGTTGGACAGTACGTGCTTGTAGCTCAGTTTACACGATTAAAAGAGAAAATTCATATCTAAAATAATTAATCATTTTTTAATTCCAATAGTACAGTTTGTTTTTCACCACTAATATTTAAATTATTTGAACTATGAGTCAGAACTTGTAAAAACTCTCAATTTTCGACAAAAAATCACATCAGGTTATAACTATTTTTTTAATTCCATTAGTAAGCACAATTTAAAAGTTTGTTTTTTCCACCAATAATATTTGAACTATTGAAACCATGAGTCACAATTTGTAAATGAAATGGGGATTTAACGTCCTGCTGTTCTGCTCTGACCGGGCTAATGAAATGAAATGAAATGGGGTTTAACGTCCTACTGTTCTGCTCCTATACTGGGCTAATGAACACGGGCATAGTCCATACAGTGTGCTATGAGGGAAATTTTGCCCGGGCAGCGGCACTA